TACCCATGGCGTAGAACTCATCACCAGAGCATCATGAATGAGCAAGCTATCCTAGGCCGAGCTGCATAGCCATTAGCAGTGCCATTTTATAGGTTGGTCTTTGTTTACCTATTTATCCATTTTACTGCCTAGTCTTACACTCGTGCAATCTAGCTCTAACCCTACTGAATTGGAACTCATGGAGATAGACGATTAAGTTCTGGGTGCTATAGTGTAAGGATGTACTTGGTGAAGATATGCCCTTTAGTTTCTTTCACAAAATTTGCAATCCTAAGATAACGGGAAGAAGTGACTCTTTCAAGGGTTGTATTATCTAACTTGCTGATGGTCCCATATCCCCTTTGTGGTAGGTCTTACAACCTCCATAAAAGAATAGGATCAGCCATGGTTCTAGGCACAAAGTAGGACATCATCATCATCTACCAGTTCCATCATTGCTCGCAAGTACTTCGAGCTCATTAAGAAGAATATTCAGTTTATTCAGAAAGAGCTCATGGTCTTAAGGTAAATTTTACTCACTTGCCTCGGATTTGCAGACCTCTTCAAGCTATGTGTTAAAATTTTATATTTTGCGGAAAAAAAAATTGAGAAGGAAAGTCCTAAGGTCGAATGTGTCATCTAGTCGATGAAGCCTAGCCGATGCTTGAGAACTTAAGACCACTATCTCTGCATACATGAAGTAAATTGATCGGCTAGGAAAGGCTAGCAAGAGGCTACCTTTGGAGGATACAACAGATGAGGCTGAGAAGCCTTAGGAAAAGAAGAAAAAAATGGGGCTTTCCTGCCCTTCTACTTTAGAGCCCACTGTGGCAACCAAGGGCCTCTCACTACCTATTCCAACTAGAGTTATCGTCTTTTCTCAACCATTTTCTCTTCCTTTCAACCTAAAGAAAACTATTACTACATCCAATTTGATCTCTACCTCGAATTCGAATGATGAGGAAAAGTCTCTATCCAAACGGAAGAAGCTTGCTAATTCGCCTAGAGATGATAAAGTGCAGAACTTCCTAAACGACAACACTGAAAACCTCACTATAAGGGCCACCACATTGCTTCCATCAGTGATTGTCAAAGCTACAGGTGTTCATTACAAGTGTTTAATTAAGAGTTAGCAGAATCACATCCTTACTTACGATGCTAATAACCTCTTAGAAGTAGGAAATGCCTACACAACCTGAGCATTTGGTATGGGCCTAGCTTTACAAGACCATATTCTTTACTTACAAAATTGTACTAGGGGGTTGGTGGATAAGTTAGAGGCCTTACTGGGTTGGATAAGAAATAAAACAGGGTAAAGTTATTGCTAATGAGCGAATTAAAAATGACTGAAGAAGAGGTAGTGCTATACTAAGTCACCTGAAGAAGGAACTGTACTAAGCTGAGTGCTAGGTGGTTGCTTTAACTAAATAGGTTGACCGATTGATCGATCCCCAATGTATCACCACTGAGGCTATGAAGGCTTCCAATAAAGAGAAAATGAGCTGAGGTAAGAACTAGAGGCTCAAAAAGAAGAAATTGAATCTTTAAAGATAGAAATAGCTATAGCTGGTAAAGTAGCAGTCAAGAACTTCATCGATATCTTTAAAAAACTAAAGATTATTATGACTTCTCCAAATATTGTGCTTCCTGGAATGCCTAAGAGATGATTGCTCGAATAAGGGAGGCTTATCTGGAGTATGACATCAACTTCCTGGATGAGATGTTCGATGGTCCAACTGGATGATTTCCGAACATCGAGGCCATTGCTGATGACACTCACAATGATGAAAAAGAGAGCCCGACTAAAATAGTGGTGGTGGCAAATAAGGATGCAGTGGTCAACCCCTAGGCTAGAGTATGTTTGATTTTTCTGAGCTATGTAATAGCTTTGACCTTTCTTCTTGTAGTCTTTTTTAATTAATGAATTTATTTCTTTAGTAGCCTCTTTTTTACTATGATGTGTTATTGTATTAACAACTCATCTTTAATAATTCAAACTGGGCTGTTAAGTTGCTATCATGATTTCGAATAGTTTAGGTCACCTAGGCAGTTATACAACCTCCGATAATTATAATAAAATTTATAAATCTTACAAGTCTTGACGCCTCAGGAAATAGGAAATTCTTGCCTCGTAATTGGTATTAACCTTTAAAGTATTCCATTAAATGAGAGAACCCTTTGATTGGGACTACCTTACTCAATTTAAGCCATTTCATATGGTTCGAGTCTATTCCTCTTGGGAAAACATCGTGCCTCACCCATCAAAGTGATGGAGATGAGTTTCTTTGCATGGAAGCAAGGGAAGATAGGGTCGTCTTGTAGGTTTGAAAATGGGTACCTTTTGGGGATGCTATACACCTCTCCCATCGAAGTGACAAAGGTAATACTCCTTGCTAGAGAAATGGCTCTTCCATGGCAAAAAGAGTGTAAGGTCATCTTCGTAAGTTTCGAGGTGGGTTACTTTGGGATGCTTTGTACCTTTCATGTCGAATCAACAAAGAACCATTTGCATGAGAATAACTCTTCCACTGCAAGGGAATGTATGGTCGTCTTCATAGGTTCGATGTGGTGTAGCTCTACTGGTTAAGGGAAGAACATTTTTCTCTTACCTAAACGAATACGATTGAAGATGCTTGTATTAAAGTCCATTCCATTGGTTGAGAAAATTTTAATATAGGTTGGGAAAACTCTTTTATTTAGTGGGTTATGAGTTATGTTTACTGATAATATTTGCTTAGATGCTCTATATTTCATGGGTGAGACTGTTCTTTCTTATCCATGTCTTCAATTTCGTAAGTCCCAGTACATAGATCTTCTTTAACACGATAGAGGCCTTCCTAGACCAATGTGCCTACACCTGGTTATTTTAAGGAGGGGAACATCATTTCTAAGCACTGGTTTGCCTATGTGCAATGGCCTCTTCTTCAATTTTATCATTGTAGCAACAGGTCATTTTATACTGGTATAATGAGTGCTTCATTTGTGAATCTCTCTCTTTTTTTATTTATTTATTATGAAAGTCTAGCTCATTCCTTCCTAGCTCATCGTTGATGAGTTCGTTAAAATAAAAGCGATGAGTTGAGAGTAATCCCTCTTCAACTGGACTCGTAGTTTTGAGTCCATAGGCTATAGAGAAGAGGGTTTTTTCAAGTTGCACTTTTGCTTGTGGTTCGAATAGCAAGCAACAATTAAGCAGCTCTTTTGAAGGTATCAATTTTCATTTTTAGGATATACTTGATGGTTTTGTTAACAACTTCGACCTGGTTGTTTGCTTAAGGATGGCGAGGGGTGGAGAAGTGCTTTTTGATTCCTAACTCTTCGCAGGGTTCTTTGACCATTTTATTGTCGAATTGTTACACATTATTAGACACGATTGACTAAGGAATGCCAACCAATAAATGATGTTCTTCCAAATAACTTGGAAGTGTTAGCTTCGATAATTTGGCTAAGGGTTCAGTGTTCAACCTATTTAGTGAACTAGTCTATGGCAACAATAGAATAGCACGCACTGTTTGTTCTCTTTAGCAAAAGTCCTATGAGATCAATATCTCATTTGACAAAGGGCTAAGGAATAGACACAACTGTAAACTCTTGTGACGGTTGCCTCTTTATAGTTGCAGAGTGCTAGAACTTGTCACACTTGATCATAAATTGGAGGGCATCTTTTTTTAAGGTAGGCTAATAGTATCATTATCTAAGCACCTTCTTTGTGAGTGTGGGTCCTCATGTGTGATTACCGCATATGCCCTTATGGATATCTCTTAGGTGAGACGATGAGAAATCTCTATTGTATAACACGTCATCTTGGATGATGAAGTGCACTGTTCTCCATCTAAATTTTGGGCTTCATCCTTGTTATCAAAGAGGATCTTATCTTTAAGGAAGGCTATGGTTGATCATATCCATGATGGGTTGCCTTCAACCTACATCATTTCGTCACTCTAGTTGACTATGTAGTCTACGAATTTTTCCGAGATGATGCTGAAAGCACACTTAAGGGTGTTCGACCTCATCTTTGCCTCTTTAAAATTTGAGAAGTTTCATCTATTTGCTTTTTAGCAAGCATGTCATCCGCATATACTTTCATCTTATTGCCAATGAATTCTACAAATATTTTGTTTACCAACTTTTGATAGGTGGCTACATTTTTCAACCTCAATGATATTACTTTATAACAATAATGACCTCTATCAATGATAAAGGTGGTTTGTTCCTCATCCTTGGGATACATGGAGATTTGCTTATAGCCTAAATAGCATCATAAAAGCTCTATAGCTCATGCACTAATGTAACGCCTATGATTCGGGAAAGAGAGAAGCTGTCATTGGAACAAGCTTTGTTAAGATTGAGAATTCTATACAAACCCTGCACTTGGCACTATACTTCTTCACAATGATTTGGATGGAAATCCACCTCAGATATTAGGCTTCTCTAATGAAGTCATTTGTTATAAACTTCTAATCCTCTTCTTTCAATGATGCATACCTCTTAGGGCTGAGGGTCCTCCGCTTTTGGCTATGGGAGGCGAACTTTATATCAATCTTGAGATGGTGACGGTTTACCTTTGGATCTCTGTTGTACTGGAAACCCCTAAGTTTTTCCTTAGCCTCCATTGGCAGGTTATCTACTTTCAACTGAACCCATGCTTATTGGAATTTCATTTTAATACCCAAAATAGACCAAAACAGGAAATTAGGAAACGAAGTTTTAAAGTTTTGTCATTCAATATTTATTATTATGAATTTCTGATATCTGTGTGGTAATGGAATTAATTCCTCATTAGTTCAAACTGGATTTAAGAGCATACGCAGGATTTTACGTTAATATAAAAATGTCGATGTGAAAAAATTGAAACAGTTAAAAAACTTTAGTGACTGATTTAGAATAAAATGAAGGGAAAGGACTGATTTAGAATTTTCCTGCAGGTGTGTATTTAACCCGGCAAACGGAGAAAATGAAAAATAAATAGAAAAAGAGATACCAAGTCATACAAGAAAAAACAAGTCTGTGAAGAGAAAAATTAGGAAAATAGAAAGAAAATGGTTGTCAGTTTTTCATCTATTTTTCTACGACTCAAGTGTACCCAATTTGTTAAAAATTGAGAAATTATTTAGTTAATTCGAGCTCTATCGTTAGAAAGTTTTGGTATAAATTACTTTTTGTTGATTTAAATTTGAGGTAATTATTGGGTGTTTTGGAGTTTGTTGATTAAATTATGGGTTTTGGTGATACCGATCTTGTGGATGATTGTGATGAAGGAGGTGAAGGGTGCAAGGCAGCGCCACCATCAGCGGTATCGTGCTCAATATGCTTAGAGGCGGTGACAGATAATGGGGATAGATCTTGGGCCAAGCTTCAATGCGGCCATCAATTTCACCTTGGTGAGTTAATTTTTCAGGTCATTTTGAAATTAACGAGATCTGACCTAGTGTTTTTTGACGATGCAGCAGCAACATTTTAATTTTTTTTTTGTAAACTAAACTTAGAAGGAGGTCATAATTCATTTGAAAGCCTGGGCATATGCTTTTGCGTTTAGTTTTTGGATTTGTATCTATGCTTTATTTTGTTTTTATATGATATATTCTTCTGATTTTAGGACCTGGGAGAGTGGTGGTGACAGAATTAAATGTTGTTAGATGAAACATTATTTTCATGTACAGTAAGGGGATGGAATCATAGTCTGGATTTGATATTTTGAAAGGTTTCGAGTCTGCCAACCTAGGCTCGAGTTTGGTTTGAACTAAATAAACACTGAGCTTCCTTTTTCACTTGCACATCTTATGCTAGAATTGAAAGAAAATTCCATCTTGTTAATGGTTTCTAATTGTTATGCGTTTTTCTACAACGTAAATATACCGCAAGTGTACGTTGTCAAATTTTGTACGGATGTTGAACCACGAGGATTGAATATCAATTTTATACTAACTACTATAACAATGATATCAATGCAAGTTTGAAAGATTCATCAATAGGAGAAAGCCTGAGATTTTAATTTCACCTAACTATCGAATATGTTTCTTAATTATTAATCATTTCTAATCAATTTTTCAAAGTTTATAAGTAAGAACCCTAATGTAATTCTACTCTCGCTTGAGTGCCGAGTAAAAACTATTCTTATATTCAAATTTCAATATCTCTATTCCGAATTAAAATTAGAAATTATCAAAGCTCATGGTGCTTAAGTAGAACATGCTTCAACGGAATTATACTTTTTCTCGAAACCTATAATTTCCTAGGTTGTGTTATTCTAATATACGTCTAAATTTCGCTTTTTTGAGTGTCGAAATTGACTAGGATCAAATCATTAAATTTGTGGCCAATTAATTGAAAGCATTAAATCAATAACACAAATAAATGGAAGTGGAAAATCTCATAGAAATAACTAAAATAAATCAAACGTATTCTCAAGTTTTCGAACTTAAAGGGCTACAACTTTGCTTCAGATATAATTCCTAATTTGAACCCTTACTATGTCAAAAATGATTCTCAATTACGGATAAAAATCTGGAATATATTTGCGTGGTTGAAAATTGATTTGTGAAGATATTTTGATCATATTTTACTCCTTTTTTTTATTTCTAATTGCATCAGATTGATTCCTACCAATCTTCAATTATCATTTTACAGTCCGAATCAACTATTGAAAAGTTGCAATTGAGTCCTCAAACTTTGGAATTCACCATTTTTCGTTGTTATTCACTTTCTTTATTTCAATTTAGCCTCTAATCATCAAGTTTCACCTAATCAACATCAACTTCTCCTTAATTTATGGTAAAATCATTCTTTTCTCCAAGTTTCACATCTCTCACACCTATTCACCTAACCTATAAAACAACATGAAAACACAAATCAAAACGTTGCTCAAACAAAATATCAAGATTAAGTAGTATTAATATGATGAGTGAAACACACTCATCACTAATAGACAGATTCAGTTGTGGAAGGTAATACTGGTTAATTGTTTGTTTATTGTCCATTCATCTAGTTGGTCTGTGAGCAGAATAGGACATAAATTTATCCAAATAAAGGTTTTTGAAGCATAGGCTAATTGTTCTCTTTTAGTCATGCCATTTGAAAATTGGTTTAAAGATCTCATCCAGCCTTGAATTTGCATCTACTTTACTGCCTGCGAAATTAGTTTACACAATTATGACAAGCATCTGAATTTAGGGCTTCTCCCTAGTTCCCATTTCTTATGGCAGCATATAGTAGAATCAAGATATTGTTTTCTGAAGTATTTTTTTAGCAGCCACCATAAGAAGTTATTTTGGATTGTGTTAAATTTGTCTTGATGAACTGCTGTTAACTTTCTCTTCTAGAAATCCATTGTTGGTCCAATGAAATCGATAAATGAAATGAATGACAACAGAAATTGTATGAAAAGGTTGAAACTTTTGGTAAACTATGTTGGGAGAAACGGGCAGTATTGTTGGAAAGAAAAAAGAAACTGTGGCCTACCAGCAATATGGTTTGGTCCATTTAGTGAGTGCGGAATAACTAATTAGTAGTCTTAATATGGAGTCCCACATATAATTGATCATTTTTCACTAAATCATTCGAACCTTTTAGGTGCTTTTAATTACATTAAACCTATTAAAAAGAAGGAAAGATAATTAAATGAGTTACCAGAATTAGCACAAATAAAGAGTCGCCCCAACACAACCCTTTCTTCACATCGGAGATTTATGAAAACAGTTTTGATAGCCTACAATTACAAGACATACTTTGTAGGGCTGCCAGTTGACCTAAAACATGATGAGCCAATGGAAACTAGATTTCTGAGCCCCATCAATTTAGAGCTAAGCCTAAAGTGTATCGAGTTATTGAAGCTTAAGCCAATGATATGAAAATGGGAATTGAATGAGTTGAGTTGGAGTTTTAACAGGCTCAACTTGAACTAGGCTTGATACTTCCATTAAATCGAAGTAATAATTTTTGGATAACATCTTCATTCCTAAATTATCTCACATTAAAATAACTTCGATGAAAGTTTCCACATGGAAAAATAAGAAAGGGAAAAGACAATCAGTTTTACTACACACTGTCCACCAACAGTGCAGGTGAAGGGAGCGTTGCCAAGAAAGGGTGGTGTCACTTGGAAAGGTCTTTCTTGTTGATAGCATATGGAGATGGAGGTGGTCTGGATTTTGAAGAGAGAAGCAGAGAGAGAGAGATGCTGATTAGAAGAGTTCAATAGATCTTGAAAATCTTCTTCTTTGTTGGTCAGGTTTGATACCTGGATCTCATTAATGAACATTAATTTGCTCAGTTTTGGAAACAATATCAAACGTCTTTTTGTGTTTGCAGTTTGTGCCCAAAATTGGAAACTTTTCTTAAAGATAAAGTGAATTGACTACATACCCTTTTTTTTTTTTTTGGCTGATTTTTGGAGATGCACTCTATGAACATCTAGGTTACGATAGAACATCTAGGTTACGAAAGGCTCCTTAATACTCCTTTTGTTTAAAAATGAGTTGTGTCTTGACTTTTGAGGTCTACATTGGATGAGCTTTTGGGACAATAATTCATTGCATTTTGTGTACTAGCGAATAAAATTATATGCTCTTACAATTCAAAATCAAACACAGGAATTAAGAAACTTTTTTGAAATTAGAAGTCAACGCATTCCACTCATTTTAAAACAGGATCTAGGATCTACAAAGTAATGCAAGTACCCTTGTCCAAACTACATTTTTTTTTTTTTTTGGTGTTGTGGGGGGGGGGGGGGGGGGGGGGGGGAGGCGTCAATTTTATGATTCGCCAATAGAAAAAGAATTTTGTTGATTAGATATGTAGATTGAAAAAGAGAATTCATTGACTACTTGTGCCATAAATAAGTGCATAATTTGTTGGCCACAAAAGGTATCTTGTTAGACAAAGGTTTTGAGACCTAATATCAAGGCTAGTATCAAATGCCACACCATTTTTTCGAAAGTACTAAACTACGACAGGGTTGAATTCCTTGAAATAAATGAAAGAAACTGGATTGATATTAGTGCAATCTGATCCATTATCAGAGAGCTATCTTGAACCGGTTGATCATTCCTTTTTTCGATTATGAAGTAGGGGATTTCACTAAGTCGATTATTAGGAAGTGTCGAATCAAATCATTGGGGCTCTCCCTTCACTACCCCCACGGGGATGGTTGGCAGCTTGGCCGGATACTCGGGATTCTCAACTATTTCATTTCTTGATGTTAATTTACAAACGAACAATTTCAACAAAATCTTTCAATTTCTTCCTTTACTATGATCAATTCTATGTATTCTCTATCCGGAGAGTACATTGAATGTGAGTTGACTGGAAATACCACTTCAAGTTCTTAAATATTTGCCTTTAGCAATAATATGGTGAATCTACATTGATTCCTTAATAGCTTTATTCAAAGCATTTTAAATATGACAGAAATATGTGTTTGAAATTATTTATGTTTTATAAATAGAGTTCTCCAAGGCATTGTAAGTGGAAAATCAATTATTAGGGTCCTTTAAAGTTACTTAAAGATCAATTATTAAACACTTCATGTTTAATGGTATCCATCTGATCCTTAAAATGATAGCTCCCATCTATATTTAAAAAGAGATAATCAGGTTACTTAGCATTTTACTTGTGCAAGGTGTAAGCCTCATCACAAACCAATAAGTAATACAAAAACTTAAATAAAAACAAATATGATTCCTAATAAACAACAACTCGTCTTAAATAGCAGCACTAAAATAAATTAACAAAATCAGGTCTTACTTGCCATAAAAAAAATGGAGAAATAAAGTAGCAAATAATAAATCTTCAAATTAGTAACCAGACTACAAATTGATAATTCATTTCTAGAACTGGAGAAAGCCACAAAGCCATCAAGAAATTTGATTTCTTTGTAACCATCCTCAGCCCTATTAGTTTTCTACCCTTTTTTTCTCCTTATGCCCCACCTGCAATGTTGTCTTCCCCTTCCCCTTCATCCCAGGAAAAAAAAAAATAGAACAGACACACAGAGATGACCACAAAAAAAAAAAAAAGTGTTAGGTCTCTTGTCACTGGTCATCTGCCACTAAAAAATTGAAACTTTGCTTAGGATAGGAGTAGGGGTGAACGTGGTTCGGTTTGGACGGACTTTACTATATTTTCAACTCTTAACCCTTTCAAGCGATTTGGAATTTTTTCAAATCAAACCAAACCATTATTTTTGTTTGGTTCGGTTTTAATCCGTGATTTACCTATTGACATTATAGTAATATATTTAAAATAAGTTAACATATAAGATTAAACAAGAACTAATAATGTTAAATTCAAGCAAAAAAAAAATAAAAAAAAATACAGACAAATAGAGGATCATCCAATACATCACCAAGAAAGTAAAAATGGGATCCGAGGGAACTAGAATCTTAAATTCAGGCAAGAGAAAAATACAGACAAATAGAGTACCTGTGGCAGCCGCAGGGACGAGTCGCTGATTTCAATTCAATGCTGTGGGTTGAAGACAAATATTGGTGGGTTTAAATGAAATGAACTGAATATTTTAAGTGGGCTTGAACAAAAAATAAATAAAAACCAACAAATTGAATTTGGGCTGAAAGTTCTGAAAGGCCTGGATATATTTGTACTCAAATAAAAATTATATCAGAAAATTTATAATTTAATAAAATTAATTTTTTAATTAAAAAAATTAAAAAAGAAAAGTTCGGTTCGGTTTGGTTTTGTGCAATTTTTGAAAATCGAAATCTAAATCTAACCATTTTGAAACGGTTTAAGAGAAAAAACTGATGGTCCACGTGGTTCGGTTCGTTTTGCGGTTTCGTGATTTTTTTGTGTGGCCCTAGATAGGACTGTATTGTACCTCATAAATGAGGTAATTAGGCATGCGTGCTATACGTCATCTCTTTTCTCTTCTCTAATTTATTTACTCTTTCCTCATTTGGTTCTTCGAGTTAATATATCATCTTTCCAGCTGGCCCTTTTGGTTTATGTTGATGTTAACGTAAAGAACCAATCTAACAACTTTTAGATTTGAAAGGTGGTTTTTTTTCACTTGTATAAAAAGCTTGTAGAATTTCTTGCACATAATCTCTGACTACCATACTGTGTCATATAAGATATATATCAAGCACGGAAAACATTAAATTCTTGTTTCATTTTTGCACTTCATGTTATTTGTTTCAAGAGATTGTTTGTCTTTTATCATTATTGTGAGTCAGTCATAAGACAGCTGCTTTTTTGGTTCTTAGTTTATCTGTGTTGTGATTTGTACAGATTGCATTGGTTCAGCATTTAATATTAAGGGGGCAATGCAGTGTCCTAACTGTCGAAAAATTGAAAAAGGGAAATGGCTTTATGCAAATGGCTGTCGTCTACTGCCTGAGTTTAACATGGATGATTGGGCACATGATGAGGATCTGTATGGTCTGAGCTACTCTGAAATGGTAATTGTAATAATTAATAAATCTCTTGATCTTATGTTTTTTCTTGTCTTTTGTTCTTGTGGATTTGCTGCAATCTTTTCACTTAGAGACACTTATCTTCATATTGTGAACATTATTGGACTTTTTCGTTTTTTGCCTTTGTCAGACTAACTAATTATATGATTTTAAAAGTTACTATAAAAACATTTGCTTTTGTTGTGGGAATGTCATATGGGCTTTTACACCTTATAACGACCTCAGTTCTATTTTTTTGTCAACATATTATTTAGGTGCAGAGTAGGCTATTCAGTATTCATTGAGCTAGAGTATGTGTTATATCTATTGGTTGATTCACAGTGCAATTGTTTATCAAGCATTCTCCCTCATGGTTTCAACTTTAAAGCACTGCTTTTCTGCCTTAAGCAGCAGTCAGATCCTTTTGTGTGCTAGTCCACCCCTCCATGTAAATCGAATGTTCACCATATATATTTGCTGTTTGATAATAATACTTCTCTAACTTTTTAGCTTCTATGCCACATCGCCCTTCAAAAAATAATATCTCAATAAATGCCTTTTTCCCTGTAGATACACAGATTCGTCATGTGGTTCTGAGGAACCTATGACACACTGAACACAGCTCGAGTGACTAGAGGAAAATGAGAATAAAGGGGAAGATTGGGAGAGAAATGGAGGGAGATACTTGGAAGCATTAATCTTAGGTGTTAATTAGATGTCAATTGTCTGTCTAAAAGAAAATCGAGCCACAGCAGCTTCATATGGTTGCTGCTTGGCTGTAAGAGTGATCTGGATTAGTGTTCACGAGAAGTTTCTTTGATATGCTACTAAACTTTAATGTTTCTGAAATTTCGGATTTGTTTTAAATAGTTATTTACTTTGAAAATTCTGCAGTTATTCCTTCTTCTTCTTCTTTTTTTTTTTTTTTTTTTTTTTTTTTTTTTTTTTTGATTTTACTCTTCATGAGTCCTAATAATGGTCCTAAATTTTCTGAAGTCTCATTTTTCAGTTCTATTCTGTTAATATTCAACTGTACACTTCCATTTTCAATTAATTTCTGTTGGATTTTATGCGTAATATTAAAGAGATGAAAACGAAAATCAACACAAGAATTTTACGTGGTTCAGCGATGTGCCTACGTCCACGAGAGCAAAACGGAGATTTCTTTATTCAGTTGTTAAAAATAGGGTTACAACATATTATTTATACTAACGCTAGTCTGGGCCCATATAAGACTTTAAGGCCCGTACAGAAAATACCCCTGTATTGTACCGTGGGGGCGTTGCCCCCGCACCCCCAACCCATTCAGCGTCCCTAACAACCAGACAGTAAATTAAACCCACACAAAGCTGATGCCCATCGCTCCATGCCGGCATCAGCCCATTTGATCTAGGACCTGTGTTCCACTCTATATAAGCCACGTGCACAACAATTTCTGAAATGTAGTTTACCGCAATAGATTATTAGTTATTTTACGGAGCTGGGGAATCAGATATTGAACTGCACCTGTATGTGACATCAATTTCTGTGTCCATGTAATGAAGACATTGCTGTTGGTTGCTTGCCAATCTTAGTTGCAAATTCCTAGTGCAGATGCAGATTTAGGTGCAATTGTTAGTTAGAGAGCTTCAAATATAGAATTCAGGTGTACGAGTGCCTACATAGAATAATAAATTGTTGACTAAGACACTGATAAATAAACTTTTCATTTTTATCTGATGTAATTTCAAATTGCAAACCTGTTCTATTTTTTTATTTTTTTTTTAATGGGTCAGTCATTGCACTCTAAAATTTGTCAAAGAATATTAATAGACTTATTAATGAATAATTTTTGAATAATTTTTTATCTGTATATCAAATAACTTGAAAATTAAACTCACCTGTAACCATACAAACTTGAAGCCAGCCAATATAATCTATGCCAAATACACATCAAAATACGTAATGGAGACATAGGGTTGTGGGTATATAAACAATTAAGGGTATTGAAGTAATTTCAAAGATAGGTTTTAAAGGGTACTGTCCTTATGCCACCCCTGCCCAGTACTGATTATGTAAGTTCTACCTAACCTTTGGAACTGATCACCATCACGTAAAGGCTTTTTACTGTGGGTCTATTTGGGGCCTCCTCCTGCACATTCGCGATAAACTGCCATTCCTGAGTGAAACCATGGATAAAGACATAATATCACGGCTATTCAACCCTAAATGACCACCATGTATGTCTCTAAGTATCATAACTTACCCTAATGTGCAAATCTCTAGCAACAATGAATATTCACCGACTTTATCCATCTTCTAACTAAACTAAGTAGAACATCTAGCCCCTGGGGAATTCAAATCAGATTTTTAATAGATTTTGAAAAATGTGTGGTAGAAAAGTTTTGGGACCCATAAAATACATAGTTAAAATTAATTGTTGACTTTGACTTTTAATTCGTACCAAACATGGGGCTAGTAATGACAACCTTTGGGAACAAATTGTGATTGTGCAGACTGCAGAAGATGGTTTTGACTACAAGTAAATGGTAATTATGCTGTTCATGTTTGGATTTTTGGATTCAAAAAATTGAGGGGTGCTTAGGTTGTCAACAGTTGAAAAGATCTAGTGAACAAACTGTTATGAGGAGGTCTTTTGAACTGGTCCTTAGAACTCTGAAGACCTATAATTTGGAAGAGTTTTAGTTGTGATATTGTTAGTAGCGTATTCTATTGACTATCTTCGTTGGCTGTGGTTTTAATGGCCACATGTTATTGCATGGTTATATGTATCTGTAATTACATGTGGTGTCAGTCTTGCATCAGAAGAAGGGGGTTATGCCAAGCCTTAAATGTGGCCTACAAAATTGAATCCTAATTTACATACATTATTGTATGGCATGTTTTGTTCTTTCTATAGGGAATATTAGCAAAAATGGGACTAATATGGCTGATTATGTGCATATTTGTATGTCTTCGCTTAAATGTAACTCATCTTGGCCTTGTAAGAATGGGTTGATTTTTTTCCTTAGTCATCGAAGAAGTTAGTACAGATTTAAAATCGTTGCATTTGCTACTGTATTTTCATGGAGGTGATACTGAATTGTGTGCCACTTACAAGGTTGTTGCTTCCTGTTTATGCAAAATGTTTTTCTGAATTTTAAAGTTCTCATATGCCGATTATACATATTGCAAAAGCTGAAATATTGGCTGATTGGATTTTGCCTACTAATTTTGATTTTCGAACTTGTTGAATGGTTTTCACAGTCATTCGGAGTTCAGTGGTGTCCAGTCAGTGGGTTGACAAGGTTCCCTTCATCATTTGAGTAAGCATTATTTTTACCTTACTGGTTGCATTTTTTGTGCTTCAATGTTAGCTTAAGTTCCTTTCTGTTGTTTGGACATCATTGATCCCTTTTGTACTCTCTATCCTGGATTGTTCTTGTTGATGTTTTCCATTTTTCCATCCTATACCCAAAAGACAATAGTGAAAACATCTATGTCGTGGGAATTAAGGATAATGATATTTGTGTTTTCTGTGCTGCTTGTACTTAGATCTTACTACTGCCTGACAACAAATTTCTATTCACAATTTAGGCTCAGTTTGAGCCCCATTTTTAGTGAAAAATGAGTTTTGTAATAGTGATTTTTTTGGAGAATGTGTGATTAAATAGTAGGGAAAATGTTTGGGTTTACGTGCAAATTTATTTTATTGAGAGAATGTGTGATTGAAAATAAATTTGAAAAAAATGAATTTTGGCCCAAACAGGGGCTTAACTTCTTTGCAACTATCTCTGCCTTTAAAATATATCAATGCAGGTAATTGATGTATTCAAAATAGTTGTATAGCTTTTATAGGAGTACTCTCATTGTCCTTTTCTTGGAAAGAGAGCTTGAACTTTATGCATTCAGAAGTCTTGAACCATTTGTCGCTTTATATTTCTTTCTTATTTTGTTAATCTGAAACCTGCTAGACGGCACCTATTCATTGTTAAACTTGTCAAATACCTGATTCTATTTCATATTCTCACAAGTCATATGGGACGTGGAATCCCTTTAAAGGTTCATGAAGTGGTGAATTTTGTTACATTAGCATAGGGCCTGCTATGCAATATTATGTATTATGGTGTTGATTCTAGAATAGCTATGATACATATTTTTGGTCTAACGTAAGTGAAATGTATGGAATCTGAATGAGATTTGACTTGTCTTGACTTTTGAGGTTTTTTCAAACTCACTTTTACTCACTCATTTTCAATCGCATATTTTCCCAATAAAATAATTTTGCACATGGATCTGTAACTTCTTCCTACTTTTTAACCACATTGTCCAAAAAATAATAATAAAAATAAATAAAATCAATTCTCAATAAATAATAATCAAACAAGGGCTATACTAGATATTTACCTTAAAAGGGCGAAAGGCAGTTGACTAGAATCTTTGGGTTCTCTTTTCTAATTTTCTTCTTTTATCTTATTTTTGCTCTTAGTTTATCTTCTGTACAAATACTAGATATTCACTGACAATGCTTCATTTTTCTGTTTCTTTTTTCCCCTTATCTTCACAGTGAAGGAGAATTTTCATCAAATGCATGTAAGATTTTTCTCTGTTTAAACTAAAGGTTTACATCAACTTTCAATGATAATCTGAGTTCTATGTTTCACAGATCAGGATCATCCTGGACAGCATGCAATATTTGCTGAACATACAGCTGTTTCATCTGCTACTCATCCTTGCCTGTATATTGCGTACATTGGACCAGTTCATCCTCCATCAACCTCCAGTGGAAGTGTTTCAGATGGATCTAATTTTAATAATCACTGGAGTGGCCCTTCAGCTCAAAATGATATTCCTGGTTCTTATGTTTTCCCTTCCATGGATGCACATTATCAAAATTGGGAGCTCCATTCCTCTTCTTTTGGTACTGGCAGCCGCATTGGTGGTGCAGATCAACCTTTGATTCCATCTGTGACTCAAAGAACATTGAGGACCAGTTCTGATATTCCAAGACCAGGATCTTTTATGCATCCATTCATTGTCGGGCATAGGTCAGTACATAATGTACCTGCACTGCTCGAACCCTTCAAACCTAAGCAATGGGATTATTGGGTTCAATTTTAGAATATTAGGGAGGGACATATTCTACTAGCAAGAGCTTCCACTAATGCAAACTTAAACCCTAAACCCCCTTTACGGAGTCTAAAAGTAATTTTTGGTCCCAAAATATGCTAGGATAACTTGAGTTTATCTCACTTTCGAAAGTAAATAATTACTTTTCTTAAAAGCGACTCACCATATATTTAAGTAACTTATTATCAACTTCGACGGATTATAACTTGTTTGCTTATAAGTTTACTTTTTAAGCTTAGCCATGCATGCTCTGGAAAATAGTGTCAATGATGCATAAATAAATAGAAAAAAAAAAAACTAAGATATTGCTGCTTATAGGAGAACGTATAATTATGCAATCATTTTTGCTATTTTCTATGAATTTTTAAAGCTATATAATGTTGATTCATATCATGACAGTTCTGCCAGTAGAGTGCCCAGCTCTGTTACCTCTTCAATGGTCCCTCCTTATTCTGGTAGCATCGCTAGGCCACATGACCGTGTTCAGTCATATTTTCAGCAAGCTGGTAGTAATCCAGCAGGACGCACCCCTTTAGTATCTTCAACACGAAGATATTACAGCAGTCATAGGGGCTCGGCTCAAGTTGCACCCATGGCTTCATCATCTGATCAGTCTGGTAACTTGTTACCAGCTTCATCTGGACGAACCTACCAAGAAGCAGAAAATCTTCTTCCTAATCGTTCTCATGCCTGGGAACGAGAACATTGGCCTTCCTTCCCATTAAGCCAGGCTGAAAGGGAGATTTGGGGACCATACCATCCAGCACCTGGTGGATCTGATACCAGTATCAGATCAAGCAGTTTCCGTCCGAGGCACGGATCAGAGAGGATAGCGCCATCTCAAAACCGGTCATAGATATCTTATTCTGTTCTGATGAAAACTTTGATTCCTATGACTGAAAATCTGAAACTCCGATTAGTGTATGTTTTGACAAATGATGTGAAACATTTGCGTGGCTTTGAAATTATTGATTTTTTATCAGCCACGAGCTTGTGTGATGGACTCCCAGCTTCCTGTTGTTTCTTTGCTTGGGGATTGTAAGGTCATATGTTTAGTAGCAAGAGGTGGTCCAAAGCAGCATTTGCTAGTTTTGTGCATCCCATGTAAAGGTCCCCTGAATTATTTTTCCTGGTCCAAAAGCGGACACTTATCAAATATTTATTTGGCTGTCTCTTGGTTGTGAAATTTTACCCATGTTATGATTTGCATGCTGCCAACAGGACAGGACGAGAGAGAGAGAGAGAGAGAGAGAGAGTTAAAATATTTTGGACAAATTTTGACCTTATGTGCTTGTTCTAAGCTTTCCTTTGCGTTTGAGTAGGTGGCTGAAGAGTATGCAATGCTGATCCGTAACATACTAACATCGAATGTAGAAAAATACTATAGAGGGCTGGACCTGGTTAATCATTAGTGGAAATTACATCCATCCAAGATTTTTAACTTTCAATTTCAAAAATAAGGTTTAAAAGTTTTTTGTACAAAAATCAGGTGATAATTAAATTTTTTAATATTAAATAATAATATTATTAATTAAATTAATCTACACTCCCACCCACTCTTCAAACCCTAATTAATTTTGTCTTCTCCTCTCTCTGTAGCAATTGTCGGAAGACAATGGTTGGAGATCACCATAGTGGCGAGAGCAGGTTGCGGTGGTGTGAACGTTGTTACATTGTGTAGCAGCCACAATACGGAATGCATAACAGTGATGATGTTGCTATGCGATTTGGGAAAAATTTGGTGGGGCATGATCTGAGGAAAATTTGGTGGCTTGAGCTGTGGCACACACCCACTTTGATAATGATCATACATCTGTGATGAATGTCCCATAATAGGCCACATTCTTCTACCCTTTCTCGAAAGTTGATGACTCACGTAGTGAATGAACAAAGCCCAAAGTGATGTCTATTTCCCCTTCAAGTTTATCTATTACGATACCAGAGTGAATATAATCTCCACGTATATACGTAACGCTTTAGCTAGTACACGGAAGTATATACCATGATTCTTTTTTTTTTTTTT